TAATAATAATGAAGCATCCCATGACCTTTGACGATTCTTTGATTTTTTTGCATGATTCTCCATGAATAAGGTAATTTCGTAAGCCTCAGTTGGACTCAGCAGGGCAGTAGCTTCGGTGCTTGTCTGTGAGCTTGCAATCAATATCGTAAGCATTCCTGAGAGACGTAGCCTGTTTGCTATATACTTAACAACTGGGTCTGTGCGGTTTTAGCTTCTTAACAAGAAGAAAAACTGCAAGGTTGCTGAAAATGTCTAGTTTGAGCGCTTGAATATCAATGGAAAGAGAGACTCAAATAAAACTAAGAAGGCTATCGCATAGGGCAGGGAATTCTCCACATTCAGTATAAAACCCAGTAGCGAAACTTTCCACCTTTAGCGTGATATTACAAGTGGGATAAAACGCCATTACTTATGGGCCATTCCAATATTATCATCCTGGTCCAATCATTCATACCATCATTCTACCGTACATGCGGGGCAGAAAGTTGATTTCTGTAAATTCTGGATGTGACCAAGACCGCTAGCGTGGTATACGGACCACTTCCAACTACACCACCTCTGCCTCCTTGAAAACAGAACAGCAAGAAAAATAGAAAGACAGATGGCTTGAGTTAGTCAGACTGGAAAGGCTCGCTCGTCTTCTAATTCCTCAAACCAGTACACTGGCTCTGAAGTAATGAAATGAAAGGAAAATGCGTCCTTTCACTGTGATCGCTCAGTCTGTTGTGTACCAAACAAAAGCCCTTGGCCCTTAGCGCCATGCACTATTACATCGTTAGAAAACAGTGTAAGCCCTAGAAAAGCTCATGTCTTTCACGATTAGGCAGTTTAAGTTCACACAACATTCCATAAAATTTGAAATTTCTTGAACAACAAGGATTTTCAGACCTCCAAGACGAGATCCCATCAATGAACCAGTCGGCCGCATGGTAAAAAGGCAAGTACCTTTTTCATCCCTACTGCGAATTCACAAACGTGTAACCCACGCTGGATTATCATCATTGAGTCCGATGAGTATTCGTGAATCCTTGTGGTTATTGCAATAATGCGAGCCTGCACTGTTTTACGATCAGAAATCACCGTCCTTTTCTCCGGATTAGCAGCCATTTCTGCCTGTAATACTTGCCTGTATATCCATTTATTTATTTACTTACTGTTTTCCAAAGTGGTTGTGTAGTAACCACAGTTTAATACCGCAATCGCGCTCGGTATCACGAGAATGCTGTGTTATGAGCAAAAGCCTTGATCGCAGGTGGGACTCGAACTCGCACCTCACGCTTTCTAGATCACTGCGCTATGCTTTACGCCATAAGGGCCGCTCTTACCCTCTTACCAGGAAAGGTCAACAGGTCAGCCCGGCCATATGCAATGAGATGCACATCATTGTACTCATCTTGACACGGTGAACTCGAAACTATCTTCAAAATTTGCGGAACGATTCTCTGAGCGGAGTTAGAGGTTTTTCTTTACTGTTTTTCTTCTTCCGGGCGCGCT